TTTAGATTGAATTTGATGGCTTATTTGATTAGGTATTTTCAGACTATTTGAATTTTGCAGCTAGTATAATTGAATATTTTAACACTAATTTGTTCACTGGTTTTGTGTGATGTTAAATGCTATAAATTTATGGTAATTTTCTTTATTTGGCATTTTTTCAAATTAGAAGCTGAATTGTAATTTAAGCAAAAGAAGCTGAAAGTTAGCTGAAAATTTAATTGCAAAGTTTTATTATGGCTTATTTGATGCATATGCTGCAAACCTAGAAAAAGGTAGGTAAGAATTTAGAATGAAAACAGACTTGAACTTATTTATAAAATTAGTGGCTATGAAGAATTGAAATAGTTTACTTGGTTTGGTAAATTTTTATTCTAAATGAAGAAGTTTTTAAATGATTAAGTTTGCCACGAGACGATAGGATTTTTTATTTCTTTGTTGTCAGAAGTAAACGTCTAAGAAATATTCGATATTTGGACGGAAGTTATATTTGGGAAGCGATAGAAGATGCTATAAAAGTTTAAATTCATTTTTTTTTTGTTGATCTTTAAGGTTTATCTGTTAGGTTTCGCAGAAGCCATCTAGATACTGGAGTTGTAGTAGTAGCAGCTCAGATGTTGTACTGTATTCTAAGTGCTAAGTGTGTGTGTGTGTTTTTCTCATATTTAAAAACGATTAATTTATTTTATCATCCTATTTTATTGCTCATTCAAATGAATTGAGTGGAGAAGAATGTTTAAAATTGAAATTAATTGATCAGGTTTTGGGTTTGGGTATGCTCTTAGTAAAAGGGCTTAGACGGGTTAGCAGGTAAAAATGGGAAACAAGTTAGTAATCTTTTTGAAAGAATCAAAACGTTTTTTTTTTGATTCCACGTGTTGATATTTTGCTGGGTTTTTGAATATGAAAAATAGGCTTTGAAAGATAAGGCATCAGTATTTTTGATCTCTCACTGTCGCTGTTTTGCTGTATCAAATCGACGGAAAAGATTGTAGCATTTGATGTGTTTGATAGTTTGAGGAATGAAGTGCAAAGCTGTGTCAAAGAAGATTGCTTTATAGTTTAAAAAGTGATTAGGATGAGTAAAATTCAATTAAAACAGTTTGCAGCTATTTGTATATTCAAGAAAAAAAATTTTTCCTTTTTGTTTGGTACGTTTTTTGAAGAACACTATTCTTATAAATATCTGTCTTAATGGTTGTTAAAATGGTACAGGTTATGTTTTATTATTTTTTAAATAGTTTCGTTTTTTATACTCTCTGTGCTTTTCTTTGTTGTTTAAAGAGCTTTTAAATAGAATTGAGTGAGTAATCGTTCGTTGACATAACAGTGGTGCAAGAATAAAAGATTCTTTTTATTACTATTCTTCTATAAGGCTTCTTATTTTTCTTTTCTAACGACATCGTTCAAATCAGATTCATTTCCTCAATTGCTCAACAACAAGCAGTAATTTGTACTGTTCTGTTAACCTATAACCTAGTTATAACGCTATTTCAACAACTTCTATAATGTTTATCGAAGTTCAGTTATAAGCAGAAGTATTGTTGACATAGGTTTAATAATAATCATTTTTTTCTTTCACTTTATTTTCCGTTATATTCCTCAATTACAAGTGAAGTGACGAAGTAAAAAAAAAGAAAGATTTCAAACTAGTTTTCTTTTTTTCCTTTCAAATAAAAATTGTTCTTTATGCTATTCAATCTCTTTTTCCATTAATTGAGTACCACAGAAAAATTGTTAATCTATTTTAGATAGTTCTTTTTTATATTTTTTGACATATGATATGTCTCATTGTGCAGTTACATTTTCAAATGTTTCAATAGTTTTGTGTTGCTTTAGCTATAATTTTTACTTTCTGTCTGCTGTCATTTATGCATTTGAAACTGTCTTTGGAGCTTCAAGTTTTTTTTTTCCATGATTACATTAAACAATATTCTTTGCATTTTTGACTAATGGATAACTGGGTGATCACTTTGTTGAACAGTAGATTTTCCTTATGAGCTCGTATTGAAATGAACTACTTAAATGTATCTGCTATTTGCTCCAGAAAGCAGTAGAAGTTTAGCAAATTTTTAAATTACCTATATATACAGTTCAGTATTGAATTAGCTCCAACTGATTGCTTCAGCTGAGAATTGGCTGTTCTCTCTTGATTAATAAGTTATGATTGTTCATCAATAAATCGCGCGTTTATCCGATTTTTAGCCAAATATTCCATTTTTATCTGTTTGTTTTTCTTTTTTTTTTTTTTTTTTTTTTTTTTT